GATGTTTGGCGCTCTTGGGCCCAGGTCCTATTCCTAACAACAATCTCCGGTCTATAATAAGCCAAAATGCTCATGACGTTGTCTTCTGTTTCTCCTATACCAATAAAGATAACCACTAGTGGTGCACGATCCACCAATGGGACCCCTCCACGTCTTGTCGGCCCATATGGGACAAATGATACTATTGGGATCATGTACATAGAGCAACATGTATAAAAGGAACCCTTATTCTCCAGAAGAATGGATCACCTCATAATTCTCTAAAACCCTAATCATCATACTCTCATACACATTCTAATTAAACTGTCAAAGCTTCGTCTCGGGACCACCTCCTAGACGTTGACTGATGTTACTTCTTTATTGTTGTGATTACAGGACTCAATCCCGTCCGAATATCCAATTGACGGTTGTAACACCCATAAAAATCAAGCCAATTTTAAACTTTTTCAAACATCCAAAAGCCATTAGTTATTACAAAGTGTTTTCAAAATAGTTTAATATCAAAGTATCCCAGAAACCATAAGTCCAAAACACGAGGATGTGTACGGTCACGCCTTCGCCTTGCCAAGTCATCTAAAGCACCTGAAACAATAAACTGAAACCGTAAGCACAAAGCTTAGTGAGTTACCCCCAAAATACTAATACACATATAGTCCACATAACAATAACAACAATACATAGCATAATGAAACAATACAACATGCAACGGTCCACAACTTTACAGACTGAATTACCCCTGGCCCACAGTGTGAGCCTGGATTGCCTTCCAGGCCCACAACTCACATCTGTATTGCCTCTGAGCCCACAGTACGAGTCTGGCATACCCTACTCGGCCCTCAGCTCGTATCTGGAATGCTCCTGAGTCCTCAGTATGAGTCTGGCATGCCTTGCCCGACCCTCAGCTCATATCTGGAATACTCTAGGGTTTGTTGGCCACCGCACGGAGCAGTACAAGCTCAACCCATCTCACATAACATGTCGACATGTAACAGATAAATGCACATACAGATAACCAATCAGTTTCACAGGTAGTCCTACAGATCTACCAGACTAGCATATCAACTGGCATACATCACTAACTGAAACTCAAACATATCAATGACTACTAGGATATCAAATCCAATGGGCCGGCCTTGGTGCCTTAGACCCCTTAGTATAGTAAGGATAACTCACCTGGCACCGCTGAAGTCCCGCAGATAAAACTCCAGCTGCTGGTTGACAGATCCCCGAACTGTCAACATCAAACAATACCCAATTAATAATTAGGTTCCAAGCCCAAGGTCCAACTCACACTACAAAAGCTCAAAATTAAATAATGGGCCAAAGCCCAACACATGGCCTAATTTTCCAAATTGGACCCATACCTCTACATGGTCTTGCCTTAAGGCCCATCCAATTATTCTAGCCCAAACTTTTGGTATTCCCATGGCCCGATATCACATAATCATAAAGGCCCAAACAGGGCCCATCACTGGCCTAATTTTCCAATTTGGGCCCAAGACTCTCACATGGGCCTTGTCCTAAAACCATCAACATATTCTAGTCCATATGATAATTCTTGGATGGCCCATTAATAATCCAATTACCAAAGCCCAATGGAAAGGCCCAACACAAAGCCCAAGTGAGATTAGGGTTTTCACATGAAATGATGATTAGGGTTAAGTGTTTCTTACTTAACCCATTAGGGACTTAATCCATTAAGTCCAATATTGCCTTAGGTTAATTTTCCAATGATTATTAATTAATATTTTAACTCTACTAAATAATTCTTGTGCGTGTCCCGATCAATCCCCAAAATTAGGGTTTTAAGCCATTAGGGTTTTCCAAACCCTAATTAGGGTTTCCTACCCAATACTAGCCCATTAGTCAATTGGTTGGACTTTTAGGTCACTTTGGGCCTCATTGGGCCCATTAGGGTTTTATTAGGTCAATTAGGGTTTCCTTGGGCCCATCAGGGCCTCATTGGGTCCATTAGGGTTTCATGCATCCCAAACGAATCAAACACAACAAGGCAAAGCACACCGCCACCCGACACGGCGGCCGGTGGCGGCCAGCCACCACCCTACGGTGGTGGTTAGGGTTTTCTTTTCCATTATCCTTTATCGATTACATCATACAACACAAAACCCAATTAACACACACACTAAGCTAACACACCCCCCACACACATACAACCACCTCGTGGTGGCCGGCGGTGGTAGATGGCGGCAGCCACCACCTCACGTTGGTGGTGGTGACTTCTTTTCAGATTCCGGCCAAGGGTTTCACACCCACACACTACATTACACCCACCTAAAGTATAAAGAAATCACACACACTTACAACCACCTTCCATGGTGGATGGTGGCGATGGTTACATGGCAGCAAGCGGCGGCTGGCGACATTTCACAGCAGTAACGCCCTCGCGACCTCATCACAACCACGAACCACCATGATCTCCACGGTGGTCGGCTTTTAATCCCTTCAACTAAACCCGACAGGTGGCGGTATCTCCGTCTTCATCGACGGTGAGACTACACAACGGCTCCTCGGTGATCTAATGGCGTCAACAGCGGCGACAGAAATCGTAGAAGAAGGTCGCTACAGCGGGGAAGGGAGGCTGAGCCTCCATTAGAGTACAACTCGACAGCAGCGGCGCTAAATGGTGGCGTCCGATCTTTGACAAGGCGGCGAGGTGTCGACTGCCACCGACGGTCAATGGAACAGTGAAACCGGTAGCCCATCCCATCCTGACGATCTTGCAATCCCAATGTGAATGGAGGTCGACGACGGTTTTCCCCTGGTGGCCTTAGCTGATCGGAAAGATGAGAAAGGAAGTGGCGGCGGTTGAAGGTGAGAGGGTGGTATAAGGGTGGCGGCCGAATATGGTGTTAGGGTTAGGGTTACGGAAGGCTGAGGGTTATATTCCCGGTTCTCCTAAACTGCACCCCATAATGACAACATTAGCCCCTCCCCTTCCCTTTTCTTTCAAAGTAGATCCATATTTTACCATTTACACCCTTCCTCCGAAAATCCTTTACAATTTAAGTGCAAAATGTTACCAATCAGCCCCTCCTCTACAAAATCTTCTCATCTTAGGTCCAAAATTTACTCTTTAGCCCCTGCTTCCATAAATCCTTACATGACTAGTCCAAATAATACCAAACACCCCTTGACTTCTGAAATTCTTTTCAAAATAAATCTCGAAATTACACTTTAACCCCTGGGGATTTAAATCTTGTCATTTGGCTTCCCGAAACCAACACCCCACTAATTATTACTCGATTTTGGGCTATAATAATATAAAATAATAATAAAATTACTTCTTGGGGTCCCGGGTTTATTATTTTAATTATTATTTAAAACGGGATGTTACAACGGTGTTAAGTCCTACAGACATATCACAACAAGGGGCTTTCTTGGTAGATGGTGCGATTTGCGCTTTCCTTATTTTAGAATGGTGGAGGATGTAGTGCAATGGGTTGATTCGACTCATCTCTTGCTAGTTAAACATGTGGTTATGGAGTCTATTATTGTGACCATGTGGTGGCTGCTTTGGAGATACCGTAATGACGTTCCTTTTGGTGGCCATAATTTCAGAAGGAATTTGTTGATCGATAGATCAATCGACTATTCCTATAACTGAATTGTGCATAGGAATAAGATATTCGGTGTTACTGCGGTATCTTGGCGTTTAAACCCTATATTGGCTATTATTTTGTAAATTTTTGTTAGTTTTGCGCTAACCTTTCTAATAAAAATCTTGTTGTTAAAAAAAGTGTTTGCAATATGGTATACAGGATCCGAATAAAGGTTGTGATGCGTTTCTTCATCCTACAATTCCTTGTTTACCGAATGGATGATTGATTACACGGCGAAGATATTTCTCTCTTCGAGTACCACATAGGCCGGGGCGGTCTTCCAATACCGCCCCTCCTTATTCCCTTCTCGTATGACACTCTCCACACTTAGGTAGTGTTTGTTTTTTGTCTGCAGATCTACGTGACCTCTTCTGTCTGCGCCGTGCAGACCACGCGCAGACATTAGCCTTCGCAGACTGTTTGTTTTTTTGAAGACTGCAGACCTAAAAATGTCTGCGCGTCCTCTTCTTGGCGCAGATGTGGACCAGAGTCTTCTAACATCTTCAGACATCTTCTAGCATAAAAAAACATATATATATCTTTATTTTTTTTTAAGTTTTTTTTAAAATTTATATTTTTTCTAACTTTATTAATGATAAACAATTTGAAAAAAAAATTACAAAACTTAAAAAAAAACGTTCGATGATACAAACATGATATTTTTGACAAATTTTTAAATAAAGATTTATTACAATAATAGTCGTTGAAGTTGTTTATATAAATATGAAAAAAAAATCATAATATATTCTTATATTTTTTTGCCAAATTTTGTAAAACATTATTTAATACAGTATCGTCAATTTTCTCAAGAAAATATTTATGCTACGTTTTTAATGGATTTAATTGAAAAAATCGAATTTTTTTCCATTCATTTATGTATCAAATTCTTTTATCACTAATTATAATGTTTAGTTATAACTTTGCAACCAAAGTTGTTGGTTTTTATCAAATATATACGTTAATTCATACAACTTTTATTTTTATTTTTTATACAATAATACATAAAAGTTGATCTAGATTCGTTAATTATTTATAAGAAAGTCATAAAAATTTTAAAAATCACTTTGAAGTTTAAAAAAACCAGTTTATTTAGATTTCAGTTTATTTTAGTAGCTCGCAGATGTTAAAAAAACAAACAGTCTTCTTTTTTCAGACTGCAGACGTTTGGTTCACCTCTATTACTGCAGAGGTTTACAGATGTGGTACGCAGACTGCAGACATTTTGCTTCAGAAAAAACAAACAACACCTTAGTACCCAACCAACGGATCGAACCTTGAACACCATAGAGAGGTGTAGTTTACCCTTTGGATGAGAGAAATTGACTACCACAAGGACCAACTAAACGAGGGCTATATTGCCATTTCGCCAAAATACGTCCACCGAGACATGGCCACCCCACTATTTCGTCAAACAAACGTTCTCTGAACTTTCTCGGCTGCTCCCTCTTTTACATCTCCCAAAATACCCAAACTACCCTCAACCCCACCTAAACCAGCCTCCCCTTTTCCCTTTTCTCGATCGAACTTCACGTTTTCTGACCCCCTCCACGTCTCTCCGCCGATTTGCCGATCGAATTCCGCCACCAATCGACGTCGATGACTCTCATGACTCCGCCTCCCATTGATGTAACAACAACGATGTTTATATTTCTTATGCAAATATCTACACACACATACCCACTGATTTACAGTCATTCACGAACATGCACACGCAACACATAACTGTATAGGCGTATGCCTGTATCTCTATTTGCTGTTTTAAGTTGCTTAATTGCACTTTCTTGATCGGTTTATCGAGTTTCGATCTCTTAAATAATCGTTTCTGAATGTGAAATATGATCTAAAAGTGCTCATGTTTCGTGTCCTTCTTTTTACTATTTGTGGAAAATGCTCAATTTTTAGGGTTTTGAATTCCGAGGATCAGAAACTTCGGAATTAAATATTATCAGATCCAATTTGTTCATTTACGGAGTTCAATTTTGCAGCCGGAAGAGGAAGAGATGCTAGTCCCGCATTCTGAATTTGCTGCCACCGAAGGACCCCAACCAATGGAAGGTATTGCTGGCTGTCTTATTGGATTCCTTCTTTTCTTTTTGAATTTGCGAATATCCTGTTTATGCTTGTGCAGATATATGTTATTCCATCAATGGTTTGCATTTGTACTCTCTTTTTTAAGTAAATTAACTTGTGTAGCATCCGTTTTTTGTCAGTTGCACCTGCAGAAGCTGCCAATACAGTTGATGCACCAGCAGTTGATGATCCACCATCAGCAAGGTTCACATGGACTATAGAGAACTTCTCAAGATTGACTGGCAAAAAGTTGTACTCTGAAGTTTTCTTTGTTGGAGGATATAAATGGTATATCTTTATTCTCTTAAGAGTTTCAGTAATTTCAGACCAATACATGAAAGTGGCAATTGGTTTTTAATAAATTCTGTGCACCTGTCAGGCGAGTGCTTATATTCCCAAAAGGAAACAACGTGGACCATTTGTCAATGTATCTTGATGTTGCTGATTCCACATCATTGCCATATGGTTGGAGTAGATATGCTCAGTTCAGCCTAGCTGTGGTTAATCAAATTCATAACAAATTTACCATGAGAAAAGGTAACCCTTTCATGGAAATATACGAGCTCCAATGATTCGATTATAAAATGATTTTGGGATTGGTGATAGTTATGAGTTATGACTCTTTTGACCTTGCAGATACCCAACATCAGTTTAATGGGCGTGAAAGTGATTGGGGTTTCACATCATTTATGCCACTTAGTGACCTATATGACCCCAGTAGAGGCTATATTCTGAATGACACATGCATAGTTGAAGCTGATGTGGCAGTTCGAAGGGTTGTTGATTATTGGTCACATGACTCAAAAAAGGAAACTGGTTATGTTGGGCTTAAGAATCAAGGTGCTACTTGCTATATGAATTCTCTCCTCCAGACATTGTACCATATCCCTTATTTCAGGAAGGTTTGTAACCAACTATACCCCATTAACCTCTTTTCTATCAAAGATAGTATTCATAAGCTGCTACTAAATAGTAAATACTGATAACATGTTGAAGAAAGGACTTATATATATTTATGTTTTGAAACAGGCTGTGTATCATATGCCAACAACTGAGAATGATATGCCATCAGGGAGCATACCCCTGGCTTTACAGAGTTTATTTTATAAGCTTCAGTACAGTGACACCAGTGTAGCCACAAAAGAGTTGACAAAATCTTTTGGATGGGATACATATGATTCTTTTATGCAGCATGATGTTCAAGAGCTTAATAGGGTTCTTTGTGAGAAGCTTGAAGACAAGATGAAGGTATAGGTTTTTTCTTGTTATCTTTAGTTCTTTACTATCTGATCATACCTGATGATGTGGTTTTATTTTATTATGAAGGGAACTGTTGTGGAGGGTACAATTCAACAACTATTTGAAGGACACCATATGAACTATATTGAATGCATAAATGTGGACTACAAATCAACAAGGAAGGAATCTTTTTATGACCTACAGCTTGATGTGAAAGGGTGTCGCGATGTTTATGCTTCTTTTGATAAGTATGTAGAAGTGGAACGACTTGAAGGTGATAATAAGTATCATGCTGAACAACATGGGCTACAGGTTGGAATTGGATGAATATCTCCTAAATTTTTGTTTATATGTTATGTTTTAGCATTTTGTTTATTTGTTATCTTTTGGCATTTTGTTTACAGGATGCTAAAAAGGGTGTTCTGTTCATAGATTTCCCCCCTGTTCTTCAGCTCCAACTAAAACGTTTTGAATATGATTTCATGCGAGATACAATGGTGAAGGTCAGTTACATTTTATTTGCACAATAGCTACTTAATCCTGCATTATTTCCACTCTAACTTTATAAGACTAAAACTTTCATATGCTTCTTATATATGGCTGAAGAAGCATCAGTCACACTATTTCTGCCATATGCAAATCACACAAGTCAATTTCATGCATTCATCTATTTTTGAATTTATCCAAATTTACAGATAAATGATCGCTATGAATTTCCTTTGCAACTTGATCTCGATAGAGAAAATGGAAAGTATTTATCACCCCAGGCAGATAGAAGTGTCCGCAATCTCTACACTCTTCACAGGTATTTTTCTTTTTCTCTTTTATTAAATTTAACTTTCACATATTAAAATTTCCCACAACTTTTTTACTTATTTTTCTTCATTGTCAGTGTATTGGTTCACAGTGGTGGGGTCCATGGTGGACATTATTATGCTTATATCCGGCCAACCCTATCTGATCAATGGTATGGAAATATTCAGAGTAAAGTTCCCAAGTTATTTGTTAACTGCTTTAATACATATTTAAAATTCTTTATCATGTATTTTATAGGCTTAAGTTTGATGATGAACGTGTGACAAAAGAAGACATGAAAAGAGCATTAGATGAACAATATGGGGGAGAGGAAGAGTTGCCTCAAGCAAACCCTGGGTTCAATAACTCTCCATTTAAATTTACAAAATATTCAAATGCATACATGCTTGTGTACATACGCGAAAGTGACAAGGATAAAATAATATGTAATGTGGATGAAAAGGATGTAGCGGAGCACCTGAGGGTAAGATTGTCATTTTGTTGATATAGTTTTCGTACCCATGAAACTGTACTGATTACTGAGTATGAGATTCCTTAAATAATTTTTCAGATTAGATTGAAGAAAGAACAAGAAGAAAAGGAGCAAAAAAAGAAAGAGAAAGCAGAGGCACATTTGTATACTGTTATAAAGGTTGCTCGTGATGAAAACCTTCATGAACAAATAGGGAAAAATATATTTTTTGATCTTGTGGATCATGAGAAAGTTCGTAGTTTTCGTATCCAGAAGCAAATCTCTTTTGCCCTTTTCAAGGTACTAATACTATTACTATCCCTTCTTACTCACTAAATTACTAAATTGTTTGTTTCTATTTTTTCCTTGTTACTCACTAAATTATTAAGTCATGTATGCGTAAAGTGGTTGAATGGGTAGTGTTGTCTTTCTGGATAAAGTGCTGTATACATAACAATAATGTTTCTTTCTAATCTATACCGAATAAGTTGTGAATGGGACTAAATGACCATTTTACCCTTGCAGGAGGAAGTAGCAAAAGAATGGGGTATACCAGTGCAATGTCAACGTTTTTGGCTTTGGGCAAAACGCCAAAACCATACCTACCGCCCAAATCGTCCTTTGACTCCTCTAGAAGAAGCTCAATCTGTATGTGCTTTTGATATAAGTAATAAAAAATGTCCAAAAGTAAGGGCAAAATTGTCATTAACATGTCGAATTGAATCCAATATTGTTGTTAGGTTGGACATTTGAGAGAGGTATCAAACAAGGCTAACAATGCTGAGCTTAAGTTGTTCCTGGAGGTCGAACTTGGACAGGTAAAGATTTCATTTATACTTTTCTTATTCGATTATTATTTCTTAATATTTATATAATACTCAACTCAATATTACTATATTGTTAATTCTAATATTCACTCATTAATATATATAGGATCTACGCCCAGTTCCCCCACCTGCAAAAACTAAGGAAGAAATTTTACTTTTCTTCAAACTCTATGACCCTTTAAAAGAAGAGCTTCGGTATGCATTCTCTCTCTCTCTCTCTCTCTCTCTATGTATACACACACACACTTACACACTTCTAGTGGCTGTTTCTCTTTTTCCTATTAAGTCTTGTATGTGTAAAGTGGTTGAGTGGGTAATGATGCTGACAGTCTGGATAAAGTGTTTGTATACATAATGTCTGTTTCTTTTCTAGACTGAATAAACCATGTAGACGAGACTAAATGACCATTTTACCCTTGCATTCCAAAAAAACAAATTTCACAATATTCATCAATCCTAACAATATTAATGAATATTTACGTGAGAGAAATTGGGGGAAAAAAAAGAAGAGGGGGTTAATGTCTTAAAATATTAAGCCAGGTTTTTTTGGCTTAACCCATTAAGTTATTCTGTCTAGATTAAGTAAAAAAGAAACAGACATATTTAGCTCAATAAGTCAAAAAGAAACAACCCTTGAATCTGGTTTAATGTGTTATCCAGGTATGTTGGAAGGCTGTTTGTGAAGAGTAGCGGAAAGCCAATAGAGATGCTGGGAAAGCTAAATGAGCTGGCAGGCTTTGCTCCCGATGAAGAAATAGAACTGTTTGAGGTCAGCCGTTCATTCAGTCCATTGTATTACTTATAATGCTATATATATATATATATATATATATATATATATATATGTTGTTTCCTAAATTACCCTCGTCATTCAGGAAATCAAATTCGAACCTAATGTCATGTGTGAACACATTGATAAGAAGCTAACATTTCGAGCTAGTCAGGTAAGTTTCCAAGTTGCTTTTTTTTTTTCATATAATTATTTATGGCAGTTTCTTGATTTAATTTAATCAATACTTTTTTGGTTTTATAGCTTGAAGATGGGGACATTATCTGCTTCCAGAAACCTCTCAAGGATGGAACTGTAAAAAACCGCTATCAAGATGTTCCATCTTTTCTGGAATACGTTCATAATCGCCAGGTATACTGTGAGACTTAAATTTACATTTTTCCACTTTTGCCCTTTTATATGTTTATGCATACATATAATAAGTATATAACATATTCTGTAGGTTGTACGCTTTCGTTCACTGGAGAAACCAAAAGAGGATGAGTTCTCATTGGAACTGTAAGTTTCCTAAGAATAAGATGTTAATTTCACAGAATTGGGTATTTTTTATTTAATGTTGTTGAGTTTGATTTGAGCAGGTCAAAACTTAACAATTATGACGATGTTGTTGAAAGAGTTGCTGGGCATTTGAAGTTAGATGATCCATCTAAAATCAGACTTACATCTCACAACTGTTATTCCCAACAACCCAAACCTCAACCAATCAAGTATCGAGGAGTCGAACACCTCTCAGACATGCTTGCTCACTACAATCAGGTACCTAAAATTTATTAATTAATTTGATTTCAATTTGCTCAATTATGTTTTTGTTGTGCTGCACAGACTTCAGATATTTTGTATTATGAAGTACTGGATATTCCTCTTCCTGAACTACAAGGCCTGAAAACCCTAAAAGTTGCTTTTCATCATGCAACAAAAGATGAAGTAAGTCTTGTTGACTTTTTTCATTTTGGTCTGTGTTTGTTTGACTTTCTATTTTGCTCTTGATATATATAATATTTTCCTTGTGACAACTACTAGGTAGTCATACATACCATTAGACTGCCTAAACAAAGCACAGTGGGGGATGTGATTAATGATCTTAAGACCAAGGTAGTAATTAACTTAAACTAACAAATTCAATTCATATTATTATTGTTATTATATCTTCTATGGTTGAGTGGTGAATGTATGTTGAAACAGGTTGAGCTGTCTCATCCAGATGCAGAGCTTCGTTTGCTTGAGGTTTTTTACCACAAGATTTACAAGGTATTAATAGGTTTTGGAGTTTGGACATGTATAATGTATTGGTTTTGGAGTTTTTGAATTTTGATAATGGGTATAACCGTCTTTTTACTTCCATCAATTTATATATTTATATATATATATATATATGTATGCAGATTTTCCCCTTGAATGAAAAAATCGAGAACATTAACGATCAATACTGGACGTTACGTGCTGAGGAGGTAACTTCAAACTTTATGCTTACTCCTTGTTAATTTCATGTCTTTTTGAGTATATTACATTTTTGGTCCCTGAGTATACCTGATTTTTTTTTTTGTTTAATTTTGAACCTAGAAAGTTTGCTTTTGCAAATTTGGTCCTTATTTGAGGTTTTTATAACGTTTTTGGTCCTTGTTCAAAATACAATGAGTATACGTTTGGGACCAATATGCAAAAATTAGGTATATAACTAGTCAAGTTGAAGTTACTACTGGGAACAGGGATGAAAAATGTAATTTAGTCTATTTATTTAAATAAAGGTTTTGAGGCTATTTTTAATTACAGATTCCAGAAGAGGAAAAAGAGTTGGGTCCTCAGGATCGTTTAATTCATGTGTATCATTTTATGAAAGACGCTTCTCAGAACCAGGTGGTAAGTATTTTGTATTTTTCTTTCTTTTGTGTGTTGCTATGTTACTCTATTAATTAATAAATAATAAATAATAATAGTATAGTATGATATGACGTTTATATTTATTAATTTTGGTATGAACATTGAACAGCAAGTTCAGAACTTTGGGGAACCTTTTTTTCTTGTTATCCGAGAGGGTGAGACATTAGCTGAAGTTAAAGTACGCATTCAGAAGAAACTACAAGTTCCAGATGAGGAGTTTTCTAAGGTATTATTTATTTATTTATTTATTTATTATTTTGGTTTCTGACTCCTTTCTGTATCAGTGGAAGTTTGCATTTCTGTCTTTGGGTCGTCCTACATACCTTTTGGATTCTGATGTTGTCTCAAGCCGCTTTCAGGTTACTACTTTTTTTTTTTTTTTAAAAAAAAAAAAAAAAAAAAAAAAATAATGTTTAAAAAAATATGTGAGAAAATCAAATCATGGCAAACTTGTAAATTTTAATGGATGGTTTTGGTTTCAGAGAAGAGATGTTCATAGTGCTTGGGAACAATACTTGGGATTGGAGCACTCTGACAATGCATCCAAAAGGTCATATGCTGCAAATCAGGTAAAACCAATAATAAATTTCTATTTAAAAAAAAAAAATAGAAAATGAAACTACATTATTGCTATTTCACCATGTAAGTAAGTAATCTCAATACTTGGTTTATTTAATATGCAGAATCGACACACATTTGAGAAGCCAGTTAGAATCTACAACTAGCTTAGCTGAAAAGCGTGTCAAGTTGTAATAAACCTTTTGGAGGGGAGAAAAAAAAACATGTTAAAAGAACACACAAAATATGATTGAGTCATGTCCCTTATTGTTATCGTAAATGTGCATCTTTTTTTTTTTTTTCTTTTTTGTTGAAAAGGTTTGTTGTGTTTGTTTTTCTTAATTTGTGTAGCATCCCTGTATGTGGGCTATGGGGTGATGTAGTTTTTACTTCACTTTACCATTAGCTGATGTTTCTCTCATTCTCCATTATTGTACCTTAGAAGAATATGCATAAGATTTTGAATTTGGGATGTATAGAGGTATAGATGTGTCGTGTCATGTGTGTGTTATTCAACTTAAACTTTTTAAAACTTGTTTTTCTTTTCTTTTTCTTTTTAATATTTTATTTCATAGATTATTGTATTGTTGCCATTTCATTTCACCGAGTATATTAGTGTTGGGATTTCTGTGTAACCATTGGTACAACATAAGAACAAAATATCAAGGGGAAAAAAATAATCATAGGTGTCATAATTTTTTCCCCCATAATATGATAAAAAAGAAATTAGTAATTACGATTTCATTAAATATGAGAAATTGGATTAGATTACATTTTAAAGTCAATATTTTTGTTCTTTCTTTTTACTAAAGCAATTGATAATAAATTTATTCTTTAACATCTATAAGTGTTTTTTGTTTACGTTACAAATCAAAACATCATTTGTAAAATCGTTACATATTTTATTATGCAAGTTGATTGACAAAGTTTTATCGACTAAGAACATCTTTCAAGTGTTGCAGACCAATATGATGCACCCTTTAAAACCATTTTGATAAATATCTCAAATTAGCAAATTATCTCATGAACAATTCCAATAAATTTTTACTTCATACTTCCAAATCTATCGACATATCTCAAAACTATTATCATTTATTCATTTTGGATGCTTCATTAGAATCGTCAACTAATATAACAAACACAAACTTACAAGTTTCATCATAAATGGACTTAATTATCTCTTTAAAAAAGCATTCAACAGTATTTTTTTTGAATATTTGGAGACATCAATTTATTATTTCTGAAAGTCTTTTCTAAAGCAACATTTTAAATGCTCTCACCATGTTCTTTAAATAAAGATAATGCTTCAATGAAAAGTCTTCTACAAAAGAGCCATCTAACTCATCATGACCACCGAATGATATCATATTTGTTAATAAAATTCTACAAGTACCCATTGTAGCACGTAATCGAAATGCACAATTACCCTTCTCAAGTTTAGACTGTTTAGTTTGTTTATGATAGGCTACAGTAATAGATTGAGATTTCTTACTGATTTTTACATTTTTACTTTTTTTTTTTTAATCAACATTATCCACGTTAGCAAACTTTTTTTTACTCCAAGTGTTCCAATGCATCTCTCCCACCTTGCTCTCTAAACAAATAACACAAACAATAAGATTTGTTCATTTTTATAGTATTCTAACCAATCAAATTCATCAACTAGTTCCACAACAAAATTCATTGTCATACTTGATTAAGATGTCAATCTAACCCCATAAAATCATTAAAATACATGTTTTTATAAAATCCATTTTATTTCATCGATCATATATCCCCAAACATAGGAGAAACACATACCAAGCCTTAAAATCTCGCAATGGCTTTTATTATCAAGCAACACTTGTTTTAAGGCAATTTCATTAAATCATTGTACATATTATTCATAAATAACGTTTACTTAATGACATACACACATATTAGTGTAGTATTTTTTATGTTCCTTACAAAAGAAATAAAAATGTAAAACTTTTTTGTGTACTGACAAATTTACTTCATATAATGCAAAAATATTTCTCATATACTGCGAAAATCATTTTTTTTGTGAAGTTTTTTGCTGTAGAGATTTTCAGAAACTCTTTTTCAAACAAAAATAGATTTTGTAGTGTGATGAATGAAATTTTTGGAAATTCCGAAGAAATAATCATACTTCATACTTTACTATAAAAGAGACATTTTTACTTGTATTGTATTTATTTGAAATGTAACGTCCCATTTTCACAACAAAAAATTTCCGTTTTTATTAAGGTAAAACTTCTCAATTAAAAATTCATTTTAAGAAAACCATTTGTTCCGAATTACATTTATCAAAAATCAGAGTAATATAAATAACGCGGAATCCTCAATGCTGTTAATGCATGTGTATAGTCCCGCCTTCGCCTTCCCACGATCACCGATAGAACCTGGAACATAAACAAATGGGTAAGTACAAAGCTTAGTGAGTTTCCCCCAAAATACCCCATACAACAAACATACTAGCATACATATCGGGTCCACAATCATCAGATTGGATTACCTTAGCCCAATCAGTCATCGGACTGAAATGCCAACATGCAACGGGTCCAATCAGTCATCGGGCTGGAATACCCTGTGTTTGTTGGCCTGCCACACAACAGGACCGCCTCAACCTCATCCGCCACCATATGTCGACATATAAACAATCAAGGATCAAGTAGGCACATAATATAGACAATTATCAATCATACAACTCACTACCGCCTATTATTCCTCTCACAACACACTGCTCCGCTACCAGCTAACCTTTATGGAATGCATAACCATAAGTAATCAGAGGTGAGATATCCACCTGAACAAATGATCATTCTCTAGAGCCGCAACCAAACAAGAAACATGCAAGAAAGCCTAGATCAAAAGTTCTCAGGCTATCCTACATGCCTACCAACAACCCTTAAGGCACTCCACTAGGCGATAACCAACCTTGTAACACCCCGTTTATTAAATAAATAAATAAACAAATTAATGAATGAATAGTAGCCCTAAAATCAATAATTATATAGCAAGGTGTTGGTCTCGAGGAGCTAACTGTCACAATTTTAGAAGTCGGGGGTTAAAAGTGTAAGTTTCAGATTGGTTTCGTAAATATTTATGAAGACAAGGACTACTTGGTAAATTATTGGGACTTAATTTGAAGAGATTTTGGGGGTTAAGGGGCTGAATGGTAACATATGGACTTCATTTGAGAATAATTTGTAGATAAGGGACTGTTTGGTAACTGTTGGACTTATTATGAAAAGAATTATAGGAGCAGGGGTATAATGGGTAAATATGGGAGCTGTTTCAAAATTATTTCAGGAGGGAGGGACCATAGTTGTCATTATGGGATAAAATTATATGGGGCTCGGGGTATATAAACCTGTCACCCCGGTAAACCCTAACCCTAAAGAACATGTCTCAACCGCCAACCTCCATTCCTCACTCTCAGACGCCGCCACCATGGTCGGAGCCGGGAACCACCAGTCGAGTATTACCGCCGCTATCTCTGGCCGATGGCGCCACTGCTGCTGCCATTCCCACCCGACGACAATACCATCGGACTTCCGCCATTCTTTTCCTTCTCCTTCTTCAGTCGCTGCCATGTGAGGCCCTATCCACCACCCGCTACTTCGCCATCGGAGCGCCACCATCACTGCCGAAGTACCATTGTCGCCGCTGCTGTTGAGGCTGAGGACGAAGGCCTACGATGGGACGTCAGGAATGAAGAAGAACAAGCCACCAGTCGCCGTTAACGCTGGCTGTAGCGCTGCTGCTCCATCGCTGCCCGATTCCACCGGCTGTTACTCGAGTCACTGCTCCGACTATCCCACTGCCGCCGTAAGCGCCACTGTTGTCGTCGTTTTGTGCTACTGTTGCCGCCGTACGCCACCACTTGGGTGGCCGAGTCCTTTGTGAAAACAAAACGTGTGTGTGTATTTCTGTTACGAGTATGTGTTGCGTGTGGGGATGTTTGGCCGAAAATTGCGAGAAAAGCCACCGCCACCATGTACCACCACCGGACACTACAAGGGTGGCTGTGTGTGTGTGTGTTTATTCGGGATTTTGTGTTGTATGATGTAATCGGTGACATAATAATTAAAGAAAACTCATAACCACCACCGTGACGTGGTGGCTGCCGCCTCGTGCCGCCACCAGCCAACGGGTTGGGTGGCGGTGTGATTTGGCTTGTGTTTAGACTGCTTTTGGGATGTTTGGACAAAATTTTGGACTAGAACCATATCCACCACCGTGAGGTGGTGGCCGCCGCCGTTGACAACCACTACCAAAGGTGGTCGTGGGTGGTGCCCGACTTGTTTAACCCTAGTTGACCTAATGAAACCCTAATTGATCTAAAGACTTAGCTTTTGGGCCTAATTGGGTTGAAAACCCTAATTAGGGTTTAGAAAACCCTAATTTTGGATATATGGGTTTTGGAGTGTCGGGACCCGCATTTTGGATGACCGGACTGGGATTATGTATTAAGCCCGACCACACTGCATGATTGACTTAGAAGATTGATGGACTTAATGGATTAAGTCCTTAATGGGTTAAGTAAGAAACACTTAACCCTAATCGTCATTTTATGTGGAAACCCTAATTTCACGTGGGCTTTGAGTTGGGCCTTTCTATTGGGCTTTGGTGATTGGGCTATTGATGGGCCACCCAAGAACAATCATATGGACTAAGAATATATGGATGGGCTTTAGGGTAAGGCCCATGTGAGGGTTTGGGCCCAATTTTCCGTCCAATTTGGAAAATTGGGCCATAGGTGGGCCATAATTGGGCCTTTATGATTATGAGATATTGGGCCATTAGAATGATAAATGTTTGGATTGGAATGAATGGTTGGGCCTTAGGGTAAGACCATGTAAAGGTTTGTGCCCAATTTGGAAAATTGGGCCATATGTTGGGCTTTGATTCATAGTTTGGCTTTTGGGCCTTTGGATTGGGCCTTGAGTTGAATCAAGCTAAGATGGGGGTAAAGTAGTCTTTTACCCCAAGCATGGACTTATGGATATGTGTTGGAACCCAATTATTACTTGGGTGTTATTTTGATGTTGACAGTTCGGGAATCTGTCATCCAGCAACTAGAGTTTTGTCCGCGGGACTTCAGCAGTGCGAGGTGAGTTGCCTTCCAGTAGCAGTGAGTCTAAGGCACCAATGCCGACCCACTAGTAGGAGTTTATAGTAGAGATAATTGTCTTTGTGATAATTGTCTGGTGTGCCACTATCTGTTGTGATTTATGTGCTTATGTGCTATGTTATTATGTGGTAGTGGTAGGGGTGAAATAAACCGAGTATCCTGTTGATAGAGACCGAAGGGGTAGGTCGGGCACCTAGATATGCTTGACAGTATATTCATGTATGTTATGCTATGTTATTATGTGGTAGTGGTAGGGGTGAAATAGCCCCCGTTATCCGGTTGAAACAGACCGAAGGGGAGGCCAGCACCCAGCTATGTTAGGCGGTTATCCGGTTGAAAGAGACCGAAGGGGAGGCCAACACCCATATATGCTAGGCAGTTATCCGGTTGAAACAGACCGAATAGGAGGCTAACACCCATATATGCTAGGCAGTTATCCAG